TGATAATATTATCGTTTTCATGGCTCCCTATTTCATTTAAATAATTATCCATCTCACTATTGTCTATTCTGGAATTTACAATACCGATAACAATTACACAGGTAAACTCGATAAGTTGGACATTTATTTATATTATCAAGCACTTTAAACAATTGAGAGGAGGTATCCTGCCTTGTAAAAAATCTGGTCTGTAATTTAAAATTCCATGATTTCTCCAAAAATGTATCATGTTCAAATTCGTGGAATTAAAAATTTGTTTTTTTTTTAGTAATAAGGCTGACTGTTTCCTGTAACCGTTTATTATTATTATGGAAATATCATTCTACTATTACAGGTTGTACGGTGCACGCCACTATAACCCATCAAATGCTGTGCAATATGTTTCAAATTCACAAAAAAAATTTGATTTTTTTTTATTGAATCACATTGTCTGGAATCCTTCTATGTGACATATTTTTTTACAATATATTCAGCCTGTAGTACTGTTAATCCTTTCCTGTAACAATCCGTAAATCTTGAGGCTCTCACCATACTTTCTAATTTTGTTTCAGTGGTATAGAATCAAAAGCATTGGGGACATTCTCTTGAAGACCTTCCCATGTGTAGTTACAATGTTGTCTAACATATCATTTAGTAGCTCCCAAATACATTTCAATGTAGTTAAGCTCACAGTGAAACTTTGGATAGAAGATGACTTTATGTCCCCTTTCTTCAATTAATTCTTGAAGTAAGGGTTTTTGGTTTTTAAAATCATCTTGAATTGCTAAGTTATGTCTAGCATAACAAGTCAAAGGTCCTTCAAGAGAAATTTTAAACAAAAAAATTTGAATGTGATTATTTTATATTCATAAATTCAATGCAAGATTTATTGACTAAAAAAAAAACGTTTTAATTTTATGGATGAATTATATCGCGTGATTTACCAGAATTACAAATCTATTTTGTATGACTTAAGGTGGGCCAAAATTACATGTAAAGTTTTATATACGTATAACATAAAAATTACATGATTTTCAAAAGCTTATAACTCCTGAACCAATAATTATTTTTTAATTGCCTCGACGATAGATTTGTAGAACTAGTCAAAAGCTATCAAATATCATCTCAATAATTTTTGATAAGCACACAATATTTTCTTTTTAGGTTTAAAGTTGGTCAATTTTTATTTGATGGGTTATTGTGGCGTGCACTATACAAGTCTTTAAATGTGTGCATTTGAAAAATCTTTGTCTGATTTTTTTTTCATTATACGATTAAAATCAAATTAAAATTAATATTAATTAATTAATCAATTAATATTTTTTAATAAATCATTTACGTCTACTTTTCCACACGTAATAATAATTTTTTTAAAAAAAAAGACCTAAAATCATGAAAAATTTTATGATCCTCATCTTCGTGATTATGTCATTTAACTTTTTAACACCTTTCGGTGTACCACTCGAGGATCATACAGAGATAACAGAAGCCGGATTTACTCTTTCTTTAAACAGTACCGTTGTTGACATTCAGTCTCCAGGTAGTTATTGTCCCGGAGGATATTGCAGCAAATATACTTATGCATATTTCTAGAGATGTACCGTTCATAGTGTGTTACGCATAAGGTTTTAGATATATTGTTTATAGACATTTACTTATTAATAAACATTTCTAAAAAGAAATTAAATATGCCATTTAATTTCTTATTATTATATGCGCATTTACAGTGGCGATCATAAATAACGCAACAAAAAAATAAAATTTGTTAAATTGAAATATTTTGCGAAAACTCAGAAATATATGTAATTTTTTTTGATAGTTTTGTTTGTAATAATGTAATTTATATATATATAAATTTCAATAATTATTTCTATGTCCAATCTTTGAATAAAAATGTGATCAGTACGAAACGTGTGTTGCATTATATATGATCGTTTATACAAGAATCAGGGGCTCATAGTCGTGCTATATGAAAGGAAATTTTTTTGCGTTTGTTTACATGCCATGCCCATTGTTACAACTTTTTAGTAAAAAGGCCAAGACAAAAAAGCCTCATACAACTCCGGAAGAAAGAGTCCAAATTCTTCTTTCTCTTCAAAATGGACCCACTACCGGACTCGGACACTTTACCGACACCCACTTTACAGACAAGACACTTTACCGACAACACACGACGTGATATTTTAGCATTTTGTTAGTTTGTTTGATTGTGTAGAGATTAAATGTAACCCCGCGTGTTGTCGGCAAAGTGTCCCAGACCCACATACTACAAGGCAAATAGCAAAGTCAACAAATATTAGCCCCTCAACAGTTTCTCGTATTAATAAAAGATGGCGTGAACAACACTCCCTCAAAGATGCACCAAAATCAGGTCGACCATCTACTATAAATGAACTAATAAAAATAAAATTGTTAATCTCATCACTTCGCGAAGGTGCTCATCTGCTCCAGAGGTCCAAAATTTATAGAAGAAAAAGAAAATATTAGTATTTCGTCGCCTACCATTCGTCATATACTTCATGCAAATGGTTTAGTATCAAGAATTAAGAGAAAAAAACCCTACCTCAGCAGTAAACACCGAAAGCGTCGGTTAGAATTTGCAAAAGAACATGAACATCATCCGGAAAATATAAAAAAATTTTACACGTGTCAATTGTAAGTTTAATAATAAAAAAGTGTAAAACTTACGTCGGCACTGTAAGATTTACACAATATTACGTCGGCATCGTAAGATTTATGCAAGTTTACGCTAAATTAATTTCCTGATGATTGTACTATCGAAGACTGGTCAAAGATTATATGGTCCGATGAGTCTAAGTTTAAGATCTTTGGATCAGATGGGAAGCAATATTATTTGAACCGTCCAGAGGAACCATTAAGCCTACAGTGAAGTTTGGGGACGGGTCGGTGATGATATGAGGCTGTTTTACATCTCGGGGTGTTGGTGGCTTTTGTAGGATTGATGGCATGATGGATGCCAAATTGCATCAACAGATACTTCATGGAGATCTTATGAATACTATCAAAGATCATGGATTTAATGTCAAAGAGGTCATATTCCAACAGGATGGAGACCATAAGCATGCGGTGAATTCAACAAAACGATGGCTTAAAAATAATAAAATAAAGATCTTGGATTGGCTCCCAATCCCCGGACCTTAATGCCATAGAGCATCTATGGAATGAGTTGATCGTTGCCTCAGGTATCTCCCTGGCAAATTTCGGGCAAGGAGGATTAATGGAATAAGATACAACAGGTTTGGTTTGAATTGATGTTGAAACTTGCACCAACCTAATCCATTCTATGCCAGAACGAATCCATGATGTTATCAAGGCACGAGGTGGTTATAAAAGGTGGTAGAGGTTAAATTCTATAACGTTGTTATTATTTTTATTTTATTTTATATATATTATGTAAGCTGCGTTAAAAAAGAAAATAAATAATGCAACACCACTTATTGAATAAATGCATCGTTTCAAAAATAATTGATTTATGGATCCACCCTTGAATTTCAATATATAAAAACAACGTTATTAACAAACGAAACTATCATAAAAAAAAGAAGCATGTCTTTGAATTTTCACAGAATATTTCTATTTAATGAATTTTATTTTTTTGTATGATATTTCCCTCCCTATGATATATATATATACACTATGCGCACTATGCGCGCTATGCTACCATCGCACTATACGCACTAGGCGTGAAAAAAAATCACGGTTACTATGAATGGCACATCTCTACATATTGCTGTCCAATTTATTGTTGCCCACTCATAAATAGGTAAATTGCTGTGTGAAGGGTTGTTGCTATCGTAAAAAACATTAATGGTTTTTATTATATGATGTTTTATCAAATATTTGTTATTTTGTTATTTTATTATATACAATAAATAGTATAATTTAGTGTGATTCCTAATAGAAAAAATGTCAAATGTGACGACGCTAATACTAATCACTTTACAAAAAACATTTTCAGAATGTTGTTTTCCGTATGTTTCCTGTTTTTACATGCTAATACTAATACAGAAAATATAGTATTTTTCCGTCATGGAATATTAACTTATTACGCATTCTTTATTATTAGCATTTTTTTTCCGTATATTAGTATGTTTTATGAACGCTTTCAATATCAATATGTTTCAGTATAAAACATACCGAAAATTAACTGTTTTCCATACGTTTTCAGCTAGTAATGTCAGAAAAACCTTGCCGGCTAAGAGCTTGATAAATTTTTTATCAAGTTGTTATTAGACAATAGTATATTCACTAAAAATAAAATTTAACAAGTCTAAATAAAATAACTCAATGTAAACTAGTATTATCCAAAATATTGTATTAAGAAACCCTTTATATCACTGTCAAATTATCATTATTTACTAATACATTCAAAATTCCTTTTATGATCAAAAGGTTCGCCATAGTTATTATTACCTAATGGTTTATCGCTATCACTGTTATTATTATTATTATTATTACTACTACTGCTATTACTACTATTATTTACTACTATATTACTATTATTATCTTTATCTTGCTATGAATATTGTTTTCTTTTTGTCATTCAAAGTAATAATGAAATGAGTCAAGAGAGTATATTTTTTTATCATAAAAAAATTTATCAGTCGCTAAGCTGAATTTTTCTTAACCGGCTGACATCAGTAATTAGTACCATTGTGTGTTCAAAGATATATATTATATAAATCTACAATTTTCTTTATTCACCATTTATATCAATTGAAATGTCCAAAACGAAAAACGACGTGTAATGGTACCTGTGAATGAAGATGAAGCAGTTAAAGAGAATGAATAATAGGTATAGTTCACTCTTTTATAACGGACTGAGGATTTAAGCCCAATTAATATTAATATTAATATTAATATATAAATATAACGGATTCTCTATACAGTTCGCTCTCTCTATAACAGACTTTGTTCTGTAACAAACTGAGAATTTAAGCCCAATTATATGTCCATATTAATGTATAAATTATTATTGTCTATAACTGACTTTTCCACTAATAAAACATTTAGTTGGAATTTTAAAAGTTCTAGAATGAATTACTTTGAACTGGATTTGGCTCTTCGTGAGAAGCAAAATTTTGAAAGCATTGTTGGAAGTAAACGCATGTCTGAACAGGTGAAAGAGCCTGTTTTTTTTTTGTCAGGAAATGTAGATAAGAAGAATAGATTCACAGCTGAAATAATTTTAAAACAAAGAGAAGCAGATGAGTTGGATGCAAATGAGTTACCAAAAAATAAAACTATTGAAAATTGGATAACACGCTTAGTAGAAAAACTAAAGAACCAGCCGAGAAAGAATTCCCATAGAAGATTTCTTTATAAAATATTTTATTTTATATTGTTTATTAAATATGTATATTTATATTCTATATAAATTACTTTTTTTATATGAATGAATGAATGAATGAATGAATGAATGAATGAATGAATGTATTCTATGTATTATTTAAATAATATACAAAATTATTTATAAATGAATGATGGAAGGATTGAAATAAATGAATTTTAATGAAATAAATAAAAATGAAAAAAGAAATCATTAATCATTGAATGTTTCTTAATTTTTTTACAGTATCAACAACCTCTTTAATCATTTTTAAACTTCTTTTATCACCTAATAAAGCAGTATGGAAGGCGTTCATACAATAAGCAAAACTAATTTTCAGCTCTTCATTCCATAAAAACATGCTTCCGCCTGATCCACCCCATCCAACTAATTCAACATCCTCTAATCCTTCCAATTTAAAATATCCAAATCCACCAATTGATGTTGGGAAGGCTTCTTGCAATACATTGTCAAATTCTGGTGCTAATTTTTTTGTTATAAGTTTAAAAGTTTCTGATGACATTAAATCAGGTTCTTTTAATAAAAATTTACTTTTATTATTGTTTTTGTTTTTGATTGGTAACGATTTACCACCGTTTGCCATCATAGCACCTAATTTTGCCATTGATCTGGAATTGGTGATTCCATTATAACTTGGGCCTTCGGGTTTCAACATTTCCAAATTATTCCATTCTTGTGGTTGAGATTTATCAGGTGAAGTCATGACCAATGTTTTAAAAGCAGTACTATCACTGTTCATCATTTCATTAAATATCTTGTGTAAAGGTTCCTTTATCATCCATTGAGGTAACAGTATTTTACTAAAAAGACGTAATAATGGGTAGGTGTAGATATTGGAGACTCTTGTTTCGTAAACAGATTTCAATTTATCATTATCATCATTGTTGTTAATGTCAAATATGGAATAATAAAATTCTAAATTATAAACAGGCATTATCTCTTCTTTAACTATACGTCCAATTGTACGATGTCTTGGATCTACTCGACGAACTATTTCATTTAAATACCATCCACGACTAACTCCATGATAAGCTTTGGTTGGTTTACCATCGAAATTGTGAGGTTGGTTGGCCAAAATTTCAGATAATTTATCAAGATCATGTAAATCTCTATTACTGATTTGATGTGAATCAATATATCCTACTCCAGCTTTATGTGTTACCAATTCTAGTAATGTCACATTCTCTTTATTATTTTGTGCAAATCCTGGCCAATATTTGGAAACCTTTTCATTATAATCTAATAATCCTTGTTCTACAAGTCTAGAAATTACAATTCCAGTCTGTTTAGCAAGAAGAAAAAAGAAAAAGGAAAAGAAATTAGGATTAGAATTAATGAATGTATAAATATAATCAATAAAAACAGTTATTTTGCTTTATATTTACCAAAACTTTGGTACTGGAGAATACCAGTTGTAAAGTATCTTCATTATAAGTACGTCCAGTACTTAAATCTGCAAACCCGCCTTGTAAATCAACTACGACTTCGTTATCATAATAAACAGTAACTTGTGCACCAATATCATCACCGTTAATAAAATTTTGTTTAAAGACTTCTTTGACACCATTAAATTCTGGTTTAACAAATCCATTAATGTTTGGATTAATAGGACATTTTGATCCAAACAATTGGCATGATAATGGCAAAAATGGTCCAGAATTTGCATATCTTAGAATCAAAATTGTAAAAATTGTCAATGTGTATAAACTAAATTGATGCATTACTGTTAAACGACTTATGTTTATAGTAGAGTGATTTGTAGGTTTTTTGCTGATCGTCATATTTATTATTATTGTGATGATGATGATGTAATAGAGCGGGAGGGAGGTTGTAAATTTTTTTCTTAAAAAAAAAATATTACCTTATTGGTGTGTATTAAATGGGAGTAAATGATAAGCAATAATAACAATATAACAATGAAGGATATTTTTTTCTAAATATAATAATAAAAGAAGGTTTAAAATAATAGAAAAAAAAATTATTATGATTATTCTTCAAAAAAATTAAAAAACTCTTCCTTTTTATCATGAAAAAAATATTTATGTGAGTAATTATTTAACCGATTACATTATTTTGTTAATACGCGTTTCCCAAGTCTTGTTCTCTTGGGTCTTTGTATGATATTTATTGTAGTACATTCATTCAACTAAAAAGGATCACATAAAGAAAATTAATTTACTTATTTGTCGTACAGCAGAAATAAAGAATTTTTTTTTTTTCGTTGTTGAGAGCAACGGAAAATTAATTACCATCTATTTCTTTATTTAAAGATTCAATCGTGAAGAAATAATTCATGTAAATATTAGAACACGCACGAATGAATAAATTTTGTAATTTCTTGTGTGTATTGTGATTTTTTTAGTGTTCCCAATGCCATGATTACTTTATTACTATATATAATAATAATAATAAAATATTAGTTTGCCGTGTAACTTCGCATACAAATAAAAAACACGCTAGTTAATTTCAATGTTAGCAAATCAATCAGCGAGCGAGTACAAGATGAAGTGTATGGCGCAGCAATTCTTTTGTAATCGCAAATTATTAATAAGTGAATTAGACAGTCAAAGCTCTCTATAACGAACTTCCGAAACCCGAATTATTCACTATAATGAACTAAGGTGTTGGTCCCGAATTTTTTGTTAATTAATTTTGCTTTGTATAACTAACTTTATTAAATTCTCTAAAATGACAAATTTACATATAAAATGGCGCTCTCTATACCTAATGTAACACAAAGAAAATTTATTACATAATTATTGACAAAAAAATTTTTCCAATAAAAAAAAAAATATTATTATTATTATTATTTTCTTTAACGAAAACAAAATTAATATTAACATTATACAAGCGATAAGAATACAATTGTTTATTAATTGATTGTTTACACACTACGTCTCTTTTGTTAAATCATTAATGGAAATAAAGAAAATAAATACCAATTTTTATTAAATATATAAAATATCCGTGTGCATTTTTTTTTTTAAAAAGATATTTTAAAATTCAACCAAATGTCAACTAAAAGAAGAACTACTTTGACAGCTTTACAAAAGAAAGAGGTATGTTTGTTGAAACAATGAGATCCGAATATTTCTAACGTTGAACTTGCAGATATATATAATGTCGGAAAATCTACAGTAATTGAGATTTTAAAAGAAAAAGATAAATGGATTACAAATTGCAATTTTCATAGTTATATTACGATCACATGACTATAAATGTGATGCTTGATCGACACCTTATAGTGAACGCTCTCTATAACGAACAAAAATTCTCGGGATAGGGGGTTCGTTATAGAGAACTTTGATTGTAGATTGCGAACAATTTTGGGAATTGATAATCATTTGACAAGTTAATTCAAAAGTATTCTTGGTAATATTGTTTGCTTGCAAAAAGAGATGAAGTTTTTGCTGCAGACTTCTGTTTTTACTTTAATTTACTGAAGAGAGCTAATTTTTGTTTTCCATTTTCGACGTGTTTTCTTGTCATGCATTCATTCTTTTCGTACAAATTCCTTGGATCCCAAGATGGTAATACATAGTGAGTGATGAACTTTTCAAATAATAATAAAATTCTACTGATGCACGTGTTCAATCAACGCTAAATAGTTATATCACGGACACTAGTACTTTGCATGGGTAATGGGTAATAATAATCTAACACATACCACATAATATCAGCTTGTTTAAAAAATACAATAATAAAATTTTTAATATTATTTGAGAGGACCATGTAAACAAGCGTACTTACTATTTCCAGTTTTATTTAAGAGATTTTTATTTTATGAGGAAAAAAAAAAATGGACGAGACAAATTGTGGCACTATTGTGGCGTTTAACAAATTTAACCAGGGCCAAGTGAATATCATGTCACATCTTTCATCTTTTATTTCTTGAGAAAAAAATGTCTCAAGCATCTTGTATAAAGTATAAAAATCCTGCACAAAATAATTATTACTCGGGTGGAGTTTTAACTTATGTTTATAGGTGGAAAATAACAAAATGGAGTGATGTTAGACCTTTTATGGAACATACTAGTCCTCCTTTTAATGCTGATAATTTACAATGGTTTGTAGCATTAGAAAAAAAATTTTTTTTTTTTTGGAATGTTCTTGAAAAATCCCAATGTTTATATATTTAATATTGCATCATTACAAAAAATTGATAATAAAACAGGGTATTTAAGGTAAAGTCGAATGATCAGAATATATTGTTTCCATCTACTCATTCATTCATTGATTAAACGGGGATTTTTTTATAGTTTTATAAAGGTCGTCAAAAGAATCCATTGGTAAGAAAGAATCAACAAAAAAAAATTTTTTTTTTTCATGATAAATAAGATAAATAAACAAATATATATATATATTGATGATCATTTGGTGTAT